GTCTCTTTTTCTTCTTCCCCCCCTTTTTCCCCTCTGTCTGCCTGCCTGCCTGCCTGCCTGCCTGTCTGTCTGTCGATCTGTCTGTCTAAAGTTAACGTGAACACATTGCCAAATTTGTATAATGGTTATTCGTACAAGAAAAGAGGAAGACGCTCGATGTTGTCGCAAACATGTTTAGGGGGCTCTTGTCTAGAGGGTAAGGTGTTCACCTCTCATTCATTTGGTCCCGTTTCGAACCCTGATAGCGACGGAAGATTTGCTTCGCTAAGATTTTCTCCTTTGGCATCCTTTAATTCCTGCTCTCTAACAATTTTCTGTCATCTGCTTTCGTCTCCACTTTCTGCCCCCTCCCGTCACTTCCTTTGCCCCATCCTCTGGGCTCCTGACTCTCTCTGCTGCCTTTCGGCTGCTACCCCTTAGTTATTTCTTACTGCAGTCTTTCAGCCGCACCCCCCGATCATATGGTAGATAAGATCTGGCCCCTAGCCTTCTCGGTTAAAGGTGAAAAATCTCAGAGGTCTTGTGTGCAAGTTGCGCTCGTGAAAGATCCCTTGGTGGTCCAAAATCGATCAGAATAGGCTTCGCCGCCACCCTTGCAAAATTCAAAATTGCCAACCAACTGCAAATGTTTAATGTGTCCCACGCGCTCAGATGACCTTATGAAGTTCCTAGCGCCGTAAACACTTTCAAAGTGGGTGGTTAGCGGGCGTTCTGGTGTGGTTTGCTTCTTCTTTCCTATCAAACATCTATGGTCTTTATCTCCCCTCCTTTTTTGTGTTTGCTACTGTCTTGTAACACCTCTAATCGTCGGCACTTATATGACCTTATTGTGTTGCAAGTGCCGTAAAACTCTTACTAAAACTATTTTTAAAATGGTCATCTGCATCACAGTCCAGCTTGATAAAAACTAAATTATTGGTGTATCCAAAGCCTATTGAACATTTTAGAACTAAGGTTTTTGAAGGGCGCCAATGGTAGGTCATAATAATTTGAAGCTTTATTTTCTCCCATATGCTTCTGTCTTTATTTCCAAGTGCTTTTGTCTTTTTGTTTTTCATGTGTTCTTCTTTTTATCCAAACTCGAAACTTGAATGCGAAAGGTAAAAAAACAACTGTTCGGAACACCTCCAAAGATTGTGTTGAAGGGAGCTTATAATTCTCAAATTAGATTTCTTCAACACCGAACCCAGAAAAGTAGGGGCTCCTCAGCAAACTGGCCGGCATGTTTTATCCCATGGGAAAAAAAGTTATCCCCCTTTCGAGAAGCGAGTTGGGCGATGGAGAGGAGGAGGCTCGCATTTGTGGGTGTGATGATGGACATTCCTGGCTCGGGAACGGGCCTCGTTTTCGTCCCAAAGGGGAAGGTAATGCCTGGATCAACACGACAAGGGGGAGGTAAACAGCGTGGGGGGATTTCCCCGGCCATCGACGGGCAAACAGGGGGAGCTTTGCTCGCACCGTCCTACTCAGAGCTGACGTCTTTTATGCTCAGTGCACATTGGCCGGCACTTTGGCCGTCGGACACACGTTTAATTCATTTTGATGCGGTCGTGCCCGGTCAGGATTTCCTATAGAGGCCTATACGGAGGGGCGAAAGCTACTGTTTTTAGCACAGTTTGATCAAATTCTTTTTTTAAAAAAACAAGCCTTGTTTGGTATTGGAGGATTTTATCGAATTGTGCCAAAATGATA